TCCGAAGATTAACAATAAGGAATCGTTACAGTTTCACCATTTCCGTTCGCCCGTCTGTCGGTTCGCAGTTTTACTCATAGACACTACTAGGTCAGTAACACTACAAAGTCGTGATTCTGCATAGGTGTAGATATTAATCATGCCAACAAAAGTCATAAAACAAAATCTTGAGAAATTATTATATCATATCAGAAGGTACCTTCTGTCCACATATATTTATGTATATATGTGTTTATGTAGGGTCTGTTCCTTCTTTTAGACCTATAAGCCTACCTTCCTTTCTTCTTAAGATGTTGGAAAACTTAAAAGATAGATAATAGAGGTAAAGATAAGGGATTTAGCGCTAGCTACGAGGCCCACACATTACAACTAGCGTGCTTACTGATCAGTGTCATTGACAGGGTCGAAAAAGCACTTGAGGATAAAGAAATAGCTTTTTGTGCCTTTCTGGATATTGAGGGCACCTTCGACAGTAGCCCCACATCACTACTGATTGGGGCCTGACATCTAAAAATTTTAACCCCGCAACCATCAGATGGGTGAAGTCGATGCTCTCAAACAGAAAGGCAAAAATAGCGCTGTTGCAAACTTCGATTGAGGTCGCAACTACAAGAGGCTGCCCACAAGGAGGTGTTTTGTCACCTCTTCTTTGGACTTTTGCGGTTGACCAACTATTGTACAAAATGGCAGACCTACGCATTGACACACTGGGTTATGCTGATGACCTTGTGATCATTTCGAGGGGCCAAAGTACTTTACTAGCAATCGTACATAGAGCCCTAAACACCATAAATAACTGGTGTATGGATAACAGTTTATCAGTTAATGTTGATAAAACTGTTATAATACCCTATACCAAAAAGAGACGGTTGGACAAATTAGTCACCAAAACTCAATGGCAAAGAAGTAACATTTTCCACTGAAGTTAAGTACTTGGGCGTAACAATCGACCAAAAACTAAGGTGGAACTCTCACCTTAGCAACGTATGTCATAAAGGCAAAAATTGTTTTAGGTACGTGCAGTCGTTTGCTTCCAGTATGATCCTATGGATGTACAGCAGCATAGTGAGGCCGATTCTCACCTACGCCTCTATTGTCTGGTGCAACAAGGCCAACTAAAAGACGACTGCGGACAGACTAAATATTCTACAAATGACTGCCTGCTTAATGGCAACTGGAGCTATGCGATCATCGCTTGGAGCGGCTCTTAATGCACTTCTATGCCTAACGTCCCTTGATCTTTATCTAGACAAGAAGGCGAAGGCTAGTTTGTATAGGATTAATGCCCTGGGCGGTTTAAGCTTGCTCTCCTACAGATTGAGATCCATGCTCGACACAATTAAGGAAACACCAGTCTTACGCATGATCTCAGATAGCATGCGTCCCTACCCTCCAGAGAAACTGGCTGAGGTTATCTGTGAGGTCGGTAGCCTCATATGGTATACCGATGGGTCTAAAATGGGCCTTGACGTAGGTTTTGGAATTTACGGGGAATGCCCCAAATTCAAACTTAGGATGAATTTGGGTAGATTCACCTCTATCTTTCAGGCAGAAATTTTCGCCATACTTCAGTGTGCGGAAAAACACTACGTCAACCATATAATTTATATAAACTCTGATAGTCAAGCAGCACTGGTAGCGCTGAGGTCAAACTTAGTGAATTCGAAGCTAGTTGGAGACTGTGTGAACCGTTTAAACGCCCTGGGATGTAACAACAGGGTCGTCTTAAGATGGTTTCCGGTTCACGCGGGTATTGTAGGCAACGAATTTGCCGACAAACTTGCACGGAAGGGCTCAAAGAGTACACAATTTTGACCTGAGCCATTTTGTGGAATCTCAAGAAGCCTAGCCCGATTGACCCTTGAAACTCTTTATCACAATAAATCTATTAAGATCTGGTCTAACACACCAGGCTTAAAACATTCTAAAACCTAAATCCGGGCTTTTGATCGTAAATTCACTTCAGAAGCCCTGGAATTAAGTAAAAATAAATTGCGCATTCTGGCAAGTGCCCTAACTGGACACTGTTGTCTTAAAAAGCACATGTCCATTTTGGGACTAAGAAACTCAAGGATGTATATGTATAGGTTCTGTTCCATAACGGAAGAAATGCCCCTACACATCCTAACTGATAGTGGACCCTTAATACGCAAACGTAAAACTCATCTGGGAAACTATCTACTCCGCCCAGAAGAAGTTAAATTGCTCACGGCTAAGCAAGTCCTTTTATTCATTGAAGACATAGGGCTTAGCAGTGAACTATAAGCCATAGCAGCGATCACAATAGATCTTTTAGGTCGCAGTGATACTGGTCTCCTTCCTTAGACCTGCATAGCTGCTCGGACATAATAAAAATATGGTCTGTTCCATCGTGTGCAGTGTCGTTGGATAGGTCTTTCAAATATATTGGGTGTATAAAAAAATATTTTTTTTCGGTTCATGTAACCGTTTGCGAAATATTTAACTTTAAAGTGGTATTTTTTATTACAGTCATGTGTCCCCCCACCCCTACAAACTAATCTGTTGTTTTTGGAAATGTAAAAAGTACGCACAATAATACTATATATAATATATTTAAAAAGAAAAATATCACAGCTGCGTAGGCTTAACAAGTTAACATGTTAACTTGTTGAAAAGACTATGACCACTTTTGTACAGACTTGGCATGTGAATGATGTAGATTGTATTATTTTCGGAACCAAAAGTCTACTCCCACTTGGACAGGGGTTAGACAGCTCGAAAACCATCCTTATAGGGAACTTGAGAATGATCTTCATCATCGCCATTCCCTTTTTATATAGCTGAGTCACATGAAGCTGTAAAAATCAAAGAGCTTATAGCACTAACATCTCATCACAAAGACAAAAAGTGTAAAACAGACCTGTGTCTAGGTAAACTGCTTGTGAAATGATAATGATGATATCTTTTTAAATTTGATGGCAATATGTGAAAGCCTAATATTTATGCGTACATGTAAAGCGATCATTTTGTATAATCAAATGCTAATTCTAAAATCATACGTTTTTTTAAATCTAAATAGAAAGTCATAATTGAAATATAGTAATGGTTTATTAACATCCCACAAGTACAGTGTAATCGTCAAAACGTTACGGCCATCTAACAGCCAATTTTGTCACTGGTATATAAAAATCCTAAAATAAAATAAAACAAAATCGTGCATACAATCAATTATCTTATTTACTATCTCATAAAAAATCTCATCTGTTATATTTTCTTTTATAATATAAATGTTTCAGAATGAATAACAATTGTTTTACTTAGTGATTAATCATATTAGTAACAAATCTCTCCATAATATAATATAAGAACACTGTTATATAGTACACACCTTATACTCTACTTTATTATGGATTGCTTAGGACTTTGACATAACTTATATTTACAAATATATATTTCAGTGACCTCTTGAGTATTGAGTGTATTAACAGTAACGCTAGGATTCCATGGAGCGATATCTACCCGTGTCCGCAGCGATAGCGGAACCGTGACATGCGTGAAATATAAGATATAGTAAATTTCAGGACGCGATTTATGCCCAGAACCTGTCAAGATGTACGCAGGCCGTCGTGCTAGCCAGACTTGCGACTATCTCCCGCCAAGTTTCTGCCTCCCCGGCGCGGCGGGAGGGCATCCGAACAAAATTTGTATCGTATAACAGATTATATATATATACGGCATTTGTCGCTCGGTTTTTTTAATTCGTGTGTTTTGGAAATTATATTTAGATACTTACATACTAATGATTTTTTGATCTTAGCGACATAATAGAAAAAACTGAACTGGTTTTTTGAATAAAAAATCATGAGTGCAATTAGTTTAATTTAAATTTTCGTGTTTTTAAAAAATACTAAAAAAAGGGCTCGAAAGAATAGATTTTCTCAAAAAAGAAAGGAACTTGAAAAAAAAATTAAAAAAGTCGGTCGGTCGGTCTGGGCTCAAACGTTGGTATTTCGATTTTGTAATCGCCCAATATACCAATTAAGCTATTTGTAATCATTAATAAACCAAAAGTTACCTTCTTATTCTAACGATATTGTAGCAGTTTTTTATTGCCTAAAAACACGGACAAAAAGACATTTTCTAAAAATAAATCCTAGCTAGATCGATTTATTGCCCCCCGAAACTCCCTGCACACAAAAAATTATTAAAATCGTTGGAGCCGTTTCCGAGATTCCGATTATATATATATACATATATATAAAAATTGCTCGTTTAAAGGTATAGGATATATATATATATATATATATATATATATATATATATATATATATAGTTATATGAGATAATAACATAGATGTTACGGTCTCGTGGATTTTGAAATATAATCGCAGTTCGTCTACCGGAGCAGGTGTGAATAAATATCGCTTCGTGAGTTCATAGCATAACAATTAAAAGTCTATTATACAGATTTTAGACACTATCTCCTATCAAAAACACATTACACATATGTATTTTATAACTACTGTAAGTATGTCATTTTTGTAAAATATAATTTGGCAAAAATTAATTCTCAACTTTGAAATCAAATAAAAAGTATTCACAGTTTAGTTTGCAAAAGAGTTTTCAAAAACAGATTTTATACATTTAGACGCATTTACAAACATCTCTGTTTTAAGAGGTTCTATACGACATTTTTTATTGCACCATCTTATATTAGCATAGTGAATGATAATGTAAGAGGCTTTTTTAATAAGAATCTTTAAAGTTATAATAATTAAACTGAACATAATATACAGGTATAACAATCAATGACTATAGAAACTACCTTTTCATTTGTGAAACAAAGATATAACACTTTATGGCAAGCGGAATATTTACGGTTCCGCACGCATTACAGGCAATAGTTACATATAGTAATTATGCCAGTTAGTCTCAAACTTTATAACTGATTCTCATACATAAACGCAGGTAGTTATGAGCTTGGTGAAATCTGGCCAGTTGTCAATAATTTGGGGTATTTAAAGATCTAGTATGGCATATCAGTAGGGTCGTACGGTACCGAGGCGACCCCTAGATATCGGTTCCGCATAACTGTGGCGGAACTTTGTCGGTTGTCGATCGGCCAGGTCACGGTATTCTCTATATTCTCTATCGTAGAATCTGTCTCTGTCGCCTTCAGGGTATGATTGACGCTGCTCGTCTAGCAGACGTGAGCGACTAAACGCGCGTTGCCTGTCCGTCCATTCCCTTCGCCTTTCTTCTATAACGGGTTCAATGATCTCATCCTCTTCTATGCGCCGGTCTAATTCTCTCCTTTCTCTGTATCGGTCGAATTCATCTCTGTGAGGTTTTGGCTCGATTCTGTTTAAATACTCCTCTGTGCCATATTCGTAACGCTTCAAATCATCGCGCTTTCGACCGACGCGCGGGAGTCTTTCTATTTCCCTGTGGCTCATGTCTGTTGTATCAACATCACGGACACGTTCAATATCCTTGCGTCTGTCCGGCTCCCTGTGGGAACGCTCCAAATCTCGATGAGAACGGTCAGGTTCTCTCCTGGAGCTCAATTCACGGTGGCGCTCTTGACGCTCGTCCCGTCTTTCTTCCTCCGGGGAAGAAGTCGAGCGACTGTTTCTTTCTAGCATGCTTCTCCGTATGGCCATATGCTGTTCTAGTTCTTGATTAAATCTCTCCCTCTCCAAATTCTTGAATTTCTCCTTTGCGACGTTAAAACGATCTTTAGGTGACGTCTCAGCGAGCTTAAGGCTACCTTCGCTTGCTCCTCGTTGGAGTTTGCCAAAGCGACGATCCTCCACTCTGTCTATACTCCGATTGGAAGGTTTGGTGTCAGTTATATATCTACGTCTATAGTTAGGGACTTCTTCAGTAAACTTGTCTGGTTTTTCTTTGTTGACTCGTTCAAGAGACTCGTGACGGAATCTCCGTTCAAAAGTAGCGTCTCTGAAGGGAGCGAGTTGGTCACGGTAGGGTTCGGTAAAGTCATCGTTGTAGACGGGGGCACGCTCGTAGTTTCGCGGGGATAAAGTACGACGTGGAGGCGAAGTGCATCGTGGTGGGGAGGCGCGATGTGGTGACTGCGCTCGGCGGGGCGGTGACGTCTCAAAGGCCTCGTGCATCATATACGCCGTACTCTCTGCCCAGTCTTCCTCTGAAAAACAAGGGGTAATATTAAAAGTTTTGCACAACCAACTCCAATATAACAAAATGAGAACATCGTCAATGTGGTCAAAGTCAACTTAATACGCATTATTAAGGATAATTCACAAACTACTGGTCATATCTTAATCAAATTGATATGGGACCACATGAAAGCACCACGTTTCAGCGTAGTGATGAAAATTTGCTATTGTGGTGGAAATATTAAGCGGTTGGCAATTAAGTGCGATAAAACTCGCCTAATTTTTACAGAGCTTTACAATTGAATCTAAGAATATAACAACTTAAGGAAAGGTATGTTCATGCAAATAATGTAAAATGATATTTTAATTTTATCATGATACGCAACCATCTTTGTGTTTCATTGTAAAATCATTTTAGACTGGGGCATTGGTCTGTTAGAGGCTGTTATATGTAAGAGAGTAGGATATACGTCTCTTACATATATACATAGGATATGTAAGTATACATATTTTGCGTGTATATATATGTCACTTAGTAACGGAGCATCGTCTATTAAAAATTATAGTCCTGTTATAATGATAAGTTCGCCAGTATAATTATTTTGTGAATCATTTCAGCCTAGTTCCCAGGAGGTCGGCGCATCTATTGCGTACTTTCATTAATGTCTTCAATAACGTGAGCGTAAAACATGTTTTTTTTATAGGATAGGGTGACAAACGAGCACACAGTCCACCTGATGGTAAGTGGTTGCTGTGGCCCATAGACATCTACATCTATCTTCGATTACGAATCAAAATGCAGATGCGTTGTCACCCGTGAGGACTAAGATGGAATGCCTCGTTTCCAGTAAAAAGGGTCTCCGGTTCTCTACACTCACCATACGAAACACAGCAGCACCAAGCCACTATTTCACGCCGGGATTCTGTGAGAACGTGGTCCTTCCCCGGTCGAGCCGACCCATTCGTGCTACAACTATACATCTAATATAACTGCAGCATGGCTCTAGCACGTATAAAAATTGTGATGGGAGTGGTGAAAAAGAACTTATGGCCTGCAATAGTTGGTAGCATACTATCTCTTAAGTATAATTTTATGTAAATTTTTACTTGGTAGAGCCGTACTGTGCAGCTATATTAGTATAGTTGTAGCACGAATGGGTTGACAGGGAAAGGACCACGCTCTCACAAAATACCAGCGTAAAATAGCAGCTTAATGCTGCTGTGTTTCGTATGGTGAGTGTAGAGAACCGGAGACACGTTTTACTGGAGACGAGGCATTCCACGTTAGTTCTCAATGGTGACAACGCATCTGCAGTTTGATTCTTAATCAAGGATAAATGTAGATGTCTATGGGCCACAGAACCCACTTTCTATCAGGTGGATTGTGTGCTAGTTTGTCACCTTTATTATATAAAAAAAGAAATAATTGAAAAATAACAATAATCTCTCAGAACGGAAAACCAGTAATTTTTGTATTGCATAGATACCATCGCCCTAGATGATGCTAATGTTCACCAGTATAATGTGACAGGCTGGTTTACCAGTATGATTGATACTATCGTCATTTGGATTATGCAGCCAGATTCACTATGACTTAAGTAACAGGATTACAGTGTAATTTGACTGCCTCTTTGGTCATGTGGTCGTTAACGCGGTTGCTGACGTTGAGGTCCCGGCTTCGTATTAGTGCTGAAATTGTTATCGGGTTTCTATATCAAGAAATTTTCAGTAGCAGCCTGGAGTCGGGAAGTTAGCGGTGTTTCATCCCGGTACTTTACTGCTTTTGCTTGGTCCTGCGCTTGATTTTTCTATAGTCGTATTGTATAAAACTATCCCATCGGACTATGAGAGCGAGGGAATAAACTTTATTCCCTCGCTCTCATAGTCATAGTTTTAAAATGAAAATTTTGTGATTACTGATTTTTTTTTATTATACAACTAAAATACATACTAAACAAAGCCCATAAATACAGTGCAACATAAACCTATATAAGATTTTTCTGCACACTGTAGTTCGCCGTCTTTCGAGCGCAAACATTTTAATATTAATTAGACTAAGAAGGGCGTTCGCTCGTTTCTATAAAAATAATATGAGGATGAGTTGTAGTGGCTATTTAGTTAGAGTAGTATATAGGTTGTATAGGGCGCACATGGTTAGCGAAATTAGGTTTGGAGGACATTTTTTATTACACCAATCTCTAAATCACATGGTCATCATTCAGTATAACAGCTATACAAAGCTTACTTCATACGTGGTAAATTCTCCATTATAATGAGTTAGTTGACAACGAACAATGGGTGCGTTTGGCAGAAAAAAGCGCTAGCAAGCGCTTGTAAACAAAATGGCGTGATCGTAAGCGGTAAGTGCTGTCAAATCGTAAGTAGCTATTTTCCTCTAGGACCGATATTAGTTTTAACCGGGAACTCCTAATTTAAATATATGTTTGTAAAGCATTCATATTAAAAACTTACCAATCATGAATTTTTAATAACATGTATATGTTTATTCATGTCTTTATATTACTTAAAACTAATATTGTCACACACTTATAAACTCTACTTCAAAAAAAATTAAATAAGCAAAATGGCGTAGTACTGAAGTAGCAATGGCGATAACTATTTTAGTGTAATTGTAGGCTTTTTTTGACAAACGCACCCAATATTTCACCGCCTTCGTTTTAAATATTTTGCATATTGCACATATAGTTAGCTGCTCTAATAACCTACTTAATTGACTAAGTCTTTGTCGTTTGAGAACTTGTTTTTACTCGACCTGTTGTCAAACTTCACTTTTACGAATAACGGGATTCGGACTCATCTTGAAGACGACTTTTACAAGAAAATATTTTTAAAAAAAAAAACGAAATTGACATAGAAAGAAACCTGTCATACTCCCACGTAAAGTCAGTTGTTGTTCACAATCATTTAAATATTTAGGGTGTGTCTTTATAATAGAGGTTAAGAGAAGAAAAAGCCATTAAATTAGTAATGGCGACAACTTGTTCTCGCGAATGTTTGTATTGGACAGGTTGATTGAACTAGCACACAAAATACTACCAATGGTCTCTGCGGCTCATATATAAAGATATTATCCGTCTGCTAAACACTTTTCTATTTCTTACCAGTAAAAAATATAAACTACCCTCCCCCAGGCCCCGTACAAGCTTGTCAGGCTGTGTATTTCCAACAATTCTCGGATGTTCAAAAACCTATCCAAGAGCGCCCCTGATGTTGTTATTTCACGTTAAGAGTTTTTAAGGTAGCTGTTCCGTATTTTTTAAATTGACTTGATGTGACTTGCCTCGTTAGTAATTAAAATCGCACCGCACTCACTGCGACGCCGAGTTCTCAGTTCTTGCTGCAATTATCGTAGGAGGCGACTGTGAGAAATGCTAAAACAATCTTAAGCCCTTCAACGTAATCATCTTTTTATAGAAGAGGAGGAAAATGAGCATACGGCCCACCTGATGTTAAGTGATCATCGCCACTTATGAACATCTGCAATACCAAAGGAATCGCAGGTCTTTAAGAAAGAGGGAGAGTCTTTTTTTGAATGTCCCTAAGTCGTATAATTTTATAAAAATCGCTGGCTACGGTAAATTCCACAACGTGGACGTGCTTGGTAGAAAATTCCTAGTAGCACGGTAATGGATCAACAACCATCAAGATGATTTGGATGTGAATGGAATTTCGAGTTCTATCGCAATGTACGATATTGGAATTGAGCAGCAAGAATCAACCTAATCTCGTTGACGAAAGTCAAAAAAATCCTGACCGGCGACGGCAAATCTTCTTTATTGTGAAAAAAGGAGTTCAGTATAGGATGGTATACAGAAGATGAGGAATATATCAGATCTAATATCAACTGATGTGTCAGTATTAAAAAGGTTAAGTATCGTAATGATTTCTTAAATTTACGCGAACACTACACATTGAATATAACTATTATTTACGGATTTTATCGCGTTTAATTACTTTAATTTATTTTTATTATTATCCCGACGTTTCGGGTGCTTTACAGCGCCCATGGTCACGGGGGGACTGAGATGTTTGACGTCCCAATGTCATAGTTAGTCCGGCTACCTTCAGTTTTTTAATATTAATTTTTGGTCCGATTTACGCAAAACGAGCTTATAGTATCATGCAGTCTGCGAACATGTTCAAGATCGTCCCCACCATTACATTAGATTTGATAAACCACAAATTCTCGCAAAAGAACACCGATTCCTACCAAGGATGATACGCGAAGCTATTGAAATTAAAAAACATCCAAATTTCAATAGAGAAGATGGTTGGGTGCTACCATCTGCTTGGGATCCTATAATTAACAAAATTAAACCCAAACCCAAGCATACCACTGCAAGACTTCATGATACTATAAGCTCGTTTTGCGTAAATCGGACCAAAAATTAATATTAAAAAACTGAAGGTAGCCGGACTAACTATGACATTGGGACGTCAAACATCTCAGTCCCCCCCCGTGACCATGGGCGCTGTAAAGCACCCGAAACGTCGGGATAATAATAAAAATAAATTAAAGTAATTAAACGCGATAAAATCCGTAAATAATAGTTTTATTCAATGTTAAGTATCGTATTACATAACATACCTAATATATTTTATCCATATATTTTCAATTTCGCTTAATAGTTAGCCTGCTGACTCTACTTATAGCTATACTCAGAGCAGCTAGCTCATACGTTTAATGAACGCATTAACTGTAGATTTAGTCTTTGCGATTCTTTTGGTTTCTTTACGTTTATTGTTTTAAAGCGAATTCTCTGCAGACTCAATTAAAATAATTACCATTTTTATTCTATTGTTTCAAGTAACAATACTTAAGAGAATAGGTCGACTTCTAAATGAAACTTAGATAACATAAAGTAGTACATCTTAAAAAATCATGCGATGGTTTTGAATGCGTAGGCTCGACATTGCTTAAAAGTACCACAAATTAACACATAATTACCGAGAACGATTATATGAGTGTAGGGCAATATAGTTTTATATTAAAAAATGGTCGATTAAC